TGCCTAGTCGCCATCTCCCTCGTCATACAATGTTGGTCGATGTAGGTTGAGGCTGGAAAAAGGTGGAAAAGCGGAGGCCTGATTAGAACATGACACGAAATCTATGCGCAGCAGAGCTTTTTCTCGATTCCCTCCAACCAACTAACACTCATCCGCCTCTAAACTTGATGGTTAGATTGCAAAATGATCGACAGAATCCGGCCTACACTCAAGAATAGACAACATAAGATTGGTTGCTCACTAGTGACTAGTCGATGTATATCCAACCCAACTTAAGTAAAAGCTAGTACAAACACACTGATCAAAGGTAAAGTGAACCAAGTTTACCTTGTCAGACTAACTGAGATGAAAGATATCAGTCAGTAACCTTATTCTCTATCCAACTTATAACAATAAACATTATAATGATTATTGTTATTATTCGAACATAAACTTCGTATGACATTGGGGTCGGGGAATGCGCTATACAAAATAATTAGGCAACACAGAGAAGACTCAGAAAACGGCGGGGAGAATGGAGCTAAACCAAAAGTGGGTTTTTGAAGGAGCAGTCTGAAAGATACATCCAAAGAAGCGTTCGCCACTTTTATTTCACTTTTCAGTAGTAGAAAAAACAAGGAAAGTCAGTCACATATTCTCTCTGACTTCAATCAGGGAGTCAAGAGGCAACTACACACCTCATCCTCCGTCTTCCACCAAGTCTCAATGTTAACAAGCGTAACCCAATACATGGAGGATCACGTTCGATGAATGATGATCTCCATCCACTACCCAAAACACACACACACACCACCGCAAATCAGTTACCTACATAGTGTTTGTACCAGATGTCAGCAATCCGTGAAGACAACAACGATCGGCAACGCAATCGTCGGACATGAAGGATACACAAAGTTCACTCATTTGAAAACGAATATTGAAATAACACACAGTGACAATGAAAACTGAAGCTCAGAAAGTAATAAGGATACTCAAACAGGCAAACAGATGAAGGTTGAGCTATACAGCCAACTAATAGAAGTAGGAAAATGTGGACCATTGGATGTCGACTCAGTGACTCAATGGTAATCTCCTAGCCATGGAACCGGGAGGTTCTGGGTACGACTCCTTGATGGGATGAGGTCATGGATGTGTACTGGTGAGGAGTCGCATACTAAGACGAAACAGCTATTCAGTGCTGTCAGGTTCTTAATAGTTGTCCAGCTGATGTCAACCCATGATGAATACCAACTTGAGATCAATAAAATCCCGAAAAGCTTCAAAATTGAGTTGCCACAAAAAACACTATCTAATTGCTTTACTCATTGCTATAAAAAAAAGACGTTGCAATTTCCATCAAAGCTATCAAAGTATCACTCTTCATCTCAAATCAAACGAAAGTAGAGTTGGTAGTTGGAGAAGCTTCAATGCTACAAAGTGATTGTATACGCTTTATTTGATACAGTACATAATCATACAATAGTATTCAGTATAATTGTTTTTATATAATACCGTCGTTGATTGGACCGAATTGATCGGTCTCTATTGGGCTCCTATGCGGATGCCTCGATATTGCCAGTGTTCTAATTATGTTAATGATGGATCGTGGCTAGCAGTGGAATCCAGGATGCGCATTTTGTCCTATTTGTGACCACTTACTGGGAAGCAGGTACATCCGGCTGATGAGTCCCAAATAGGAAGAAATGCGCATCCTGGATTCCACTGCTAGCCACGACCATCGTTAACACAATAGTACTCAGTGGATGACGTTTCTGGTATAATCTATCACTCACAGTCAATTCAAGGTAATCAGATAAATTATAGACTTACTTTTTACGTTCAAATGTCTACATATTTGTTAGTTGAATCGTGGGAATCGGCAGGAAGTCCTGCTCGGCGTAGGTTTCATCCTCTTTAGGATTCGTCAGCGATGCATACCTACAACTCCAACAGGACTGATGTCCTTCCTAAAATTCGAACCCACTTCACCCAGCGTTGTAGTCAGCGACGTCATCACTGAGCTATTCGCGTTGCGACTGACCTCCAGTAAGAATGAATTGGGGAAATTGATTGGTCATTGGAGTGTAACCAACTTCACGCAGTCTAGTCCTTTATTTTACTGGTAGTAGAAGTTTCCGTGTATCTACAATGGGTGACAAACAACTCCCTGGCATTCAATGAACGCTGATTCAGTGATGAGTTCCTCCCCGTCCATTTAACTATGTTGGATACTCAAATTGTTACTGTATGGTGTGATAATGAGTCAGTACAAGCTTGGTGTAGTAAGCCTTCCTTCTAGGTTGATTATCTCGTTAAAGGGTCGATCGCTCACTCGTCAAACGCTGCTACACTGTTCAAGTCTTGTTCTTACATTCACCAATTCTACGTCGTTGGGTTTGTATTTGCGAGTGATTTCATAGGTCACCCTAGAGACTCCTAAAATAACCAATTAAACTTCACTATTTTATGGACATCTACCTTCCTAACCAAAATAGAGTCATCTAATCGGTTATTTCTCTTGTTGCTAGGGTGGCCTCTAAAGTCGCTTCGAACAGCATTATCATCATCATCATATTGACAATTTGAGCTAACAGTCCATTTATACTAACTTACATATACTCAGTTATTTAAATTGAGACCAAATAAACAATTATGGAAAGAACCAATCACGGTTCTCTATTTTGGGAAAAACCAACTTTCTAGTCGAAACCTGGTTGGTTATGCGTACTAATAAACATAATGCTGGTTACGTTTGACCTACTCCCTAGAGATCATCTGGTTGACTTGGAGTATGCAGACGATATTTTCTTGTTAGATGAAGATGCTGGAAAAAAACATGGTCCTCTGAACGCGTTGAGCCGAAATCTGAGTATGATTCGTATGCGTCTTGCACCTGTGAAATGTAAGATGATGCTTCACGAATGAAACTAATTCGTCTAGCCCTGCTGTTCTTCCTTTTTTCAAGTTACCTATAGATTTTTCAAGTTCTGTAAGTGTTAGGGGTCCTATCTCGTCATTCCATTGATTAGCGGCAACGGGATACTAGAAGGATGGCACCCAAACTGTTCCAACCATCGTCTCTCCTGTGAATGAATCACAGACCCATCCTTCTCCACTACAGTCTCACTAACCACTGACATTTTTGTCCAGTCTCCTGATAAGTTGAAACAAATGGCTACTGTTACCTATCGCCGTTGCCTTTTCCATCTTTCTAACCTTCACCGACCACCACGGTTTGCGGTTTGCCAGTCTACATTTGAGTTGCTTCTTCTCCTCATTGTGTTAGCAGCCTGCAAGAATGCGTACGTTAATTCAGAAGTTGCCGAGATTCACTAACCGTCTTTAACAACCAAGCTACGTTTAATTGGTCCAGTTCACAAGAGAGTAGTAGCCTTTACTAATCACTGTGAGACGGACGATTAACGCAGATACTATGATAACACGACAAATATCCCACTGCCTAAATCTGTTCATGATGATGTTTATGATGAAGGCAGTGAAAAATGACGTTGGATCTAGTGACAGCGTTCATTAAGAGAAACAAGCAGTGAGACTATGAATCTACATAGAGTGAAGTTTGTTACATGCATCACGTTGAGAAAAATGCTGGAGTTAGTGATGGTCTGTAAAGATAGCTAAGAAACCAGACATGAAGGAAACTACGAAATTACTCCAGTTTGTTCGAAACTACGTGAAACAACCCCATAGGTAACCACCACTAATAGACTCATGTTTTACTACATATGTTCGTTATCTAGGCACTTGTTTTCTCTTGATCATTCAGTAAGTTTAGTAATAAAACTTGATTAGACAGTTGAAGTGAAAACTTCTTGAGAAAACGACTTACAACATGCCTATTATCAGTACTTATGTGAATTTCTCATGCAAACAACAAGCTACTCAGCATAACTCAGGAATTGATGCACTATTTATCAACATGAACTGAAATATATAGATCATATAGTGAGCCTACGCAGTTTTAATGTACGATGTTGTCGTGAATCTACCTACAGTTAGTATATAACGCTTTCTAACAACTACATAAAGGTTTCTATACGAGAGGATGAGGCAGACATTGTGCTGCGAGGGGGTTTAAGGGCAGAGGTTGGTGCCAGTATATTCAGCTGCACAAACTACAATATCTAAGTGGAACTAACTTCGAATCGATGACGAATTAGTTAAAAGCTGGAAACCAGTCACCGTCTAATTTTAGCAGTGATGATCAAAACGTGTCGTCCAACTTTGCGGTGAAACCATCAAGCTAAACGATTCACTACTGAATTTCCCTTCATGTTACCTGGATAAAGTTATCGGATAGTCACACAAAGTGACTTTCTTCAGTTTGTCCGCAGTCATCAACAATACGCATCTAATATATTCCAAAAATGTTGAAAGTTGAGCAGCCTAAATGTTTAGATTCACAAGTTTTTGTACCTAAAAACACCTAGGTTAAGCACAGATATCAGTATACCTATATAGACGATCTTTAAACTTAAGAAGTTGATTCCAAGCCTTATTGACATGTAACATATCTCAATGAAACCTCTTTCACCGATTTAGATCGGTGTAATCAACGCAGAACCTCGCAAACAAGCGCATCACCTCTTAAGTTGCTATACTTCACAGTAGTAAACAAACAATAAGAACAGGTGGAGAAAAAAATTAATATCGAAGTAGAAATAGCTGCGCCATTCTCACCGTTTTCGTCTGGTCACTCTGAACCCTCTTCTAAGATAATCCAACTTCCCCTTGGTAACTGGCGGTGACTCGGCATGCATAGTTCACGTCCAAGTCATATCAATCAATTAAAGTTCAAAATCTCATCAATCAACCTTTGCTATCTTGCTTAGTACCCTTTATCTGACCTCAACGTTGTTCACACATTGATTTCACCAACATCAGGAATACCACTAAGACATCTATGATGAAAACGTTGTAACCGCCTCATGTTGTCTACTTTCAATGACCATGTTTCATAGCCGTATATAACAGGATGTGTAACGAAGATATCATGAACAATATGAGTAAGTATCAATTTATGTCTATTGTATATTTATGTCAAATATACATGGATATATTCAGGTAGATCTGAGATCCAATCAACGAATTAAGACAAGCACATTATTATTATTATCGCCATCATCAGCATCAATAACTACTAACATGTCTAAAGAACTGGTTTACCTCCAGTTGAAGATAGACAAAGAAGAATCAAGGTAACCGACGTGCTGATTCCTCTTTTCTTGTTCACCTCACATAAAAAAGACAAGTAGATGAAGAGAAACCCCAATCAACGTGATCACACACAAAACAAAAACAAACAACTACATTTGATATGCACAGCACACAATTGATGACTAAAAACAGGAACAAAATTGAGAGAAGAAAACAGGAGTAAAAGAAAACTTTAAGAAGGAGATGGGAGGGCAAGGGGGGGGAGCGGCACAAAGAGAGAAAACAAAACACTACTACTAACAATATGTATACTGTTTCATGATAATACTCTACTGAACGCACTGAATAATACGCAAACAAACGGAATAAAAAGAAACGAAATCAGAAAGAATCATGTAAGAATACACAAAACCACAATAATATTAGACACACAAATACACACAAAAGAAGGAAGGAGAACAAAGACAGAAATGGGTTCCCCTCCTAAATTTTTCTCTTTTGAAAAATAAACAGAAAGCAATGCGCAGGCAGACAGAGAGAGAGAGAGATAGAGGGAGAGCTATGAACAGCATTTGTTACGTTACAGTAAGTAATCCAAGAGGATTATTCATTCCATGATGATATATGAAGATATATGTATATGTATTACTGTAGATTAGAAAGTGAAGAGGCAATTTTTCAACACAAAAGTTTACTACCTTTCCATTTAAAAAAAGATCACACACACACACACACACATACATACATTCATGAAGATGCATAACTCTGGAATGATGCAACATGAAAGTATCAACTAATTTTGATTGAACAAAAGTGAGAAACAATCCAATGACATGCATATAATAGAAGGAATTCTCATTGAAGAAACACAATAGGTATAATAACTTGAGCGCTATTCATATTATACGTATATATATACGTATTCATGTTGTTGTTCACAGGTTAATTCAATTGAGCACCATTATTTATTTCTTCAATCATCACATTTAATACACATACAAAAAGAGGATCATTTTCATTAAGAGAACACCAACAACACATACCTTATAATCATTGATATTTTAACCATGTACCAGAGGATTGCATTCTACGAATTTTTGATCGAACAGCTGTAGCTGTTCTTGTCTCTTTTAATTTTGATGAAGCTATACGAGATCGTACTTCACTAAGAGATGGTAATGTACCGCATACACCTGTAGGTTTAGGATTTCCATGAAAGAATTCTTTAAATAGTCGACTAATTAATCTAGTCTCCCAATCAGCAAATAATCGACTGCCACCAACATCTTCTTGTCCACGTTTTCGACTAGTCTCATTGATATATTCAGGTATATGTCTAACAGAAGGGAAAACATTACCAGCTTCTTGACTAGGTCTCTGAGATGAAGGGAAATGATTATGATTATTGGAAGGTTGTTGATTTGGACAATGATTAGGAAAGGGATGATATCGAGGTTGAGGATCAGGAGCAGCATTTGTTTGATGTTGATGTCGATATTGATTTGTATGCGAAGGAAAAAATCGAACCATAGCCTGTTGTTCTTCAGCTGTAAATGGTAGTCTAGTTAAATAAGTTCGACCAGGTGGAGGAGTTAATTCACGATCTTCATCTACATGCGAACGAACAGGGATAGGATAGGGTACACGAGATCTGCCTGATGCATCACACATAGTTATATTCCAAGGAAGATGATTCACCCATCGTTGAATATGCATCATTCTTTCCTAAAACATAAAACATGAATATGAAAATGTTAGCACTTACACATAATGATTATGTAAGCTACAAAAAAAAGGATCCTTTGAAAAAATATTCACAAGCTTAGCTCATCATAAATTCACACGAAAAAAATACCAAAGCCTGATGAATACCAAACCACTACTAAAACAAACTTACCACCTACATATGGTGGTTAGAAGCAATGATAGATTAGTAGAGTAAAAGCTTCATTCATCACAGAGAAATGCATATATGAAGCTTTATGTACCAAAATCGTGCACTCCACACATTATGTAAAGGTTTACGATAACTACCTGGTTAGTTAAACCTCGGGAGGTGGAGCAGCCTTAGAACCTATGGTCAACTGATTTAAAACCAGTTCCATAGACTAGCTTGCTATAGCTACACTTTCATTACAGAAGTAAGACATAGAACATTGTAATGAAGAAAGCTGTGAAATTAACTAACATCTTGAGAATCCCATATGATACAACCTCAGTTCGAGTGACGGTACCAAACCACTTGTCTCCCTTGTTCCAAACTAGCAGTGGGGTTAGGTTGGGTCCCATAGCTTTTTCATTCCACTTTAACTTTGCCATCGATGACATTCTTGAGACACTACCCAAATATGTGATGGTGGCGTATATCTACTATACGGAGAACGGCTATCCGACCTTGAATATACGGACGATATCGTCTTACTGTGCGATAACACACAGGCTACTTGAGTCTCACTTATTCAGTTGGCGATTAGCGTCCGTAAGTATGGTATGTACTTCAAACCATCGAAATGCAGAGTACTTCTGCAAGATTGGCAGGAGCCTGAGCCTGTACTCATACTTGGTGGTGAGCTGTTGGAAGTAGTCGAAAAGTCCGTGTGTCTAGGCAGTTATGTAGTGGTGGTGTGATCCACAAAATTTCTAACCGCATATCGAAGGCCTGAGTGACATACGCCGATCTTGCCCATTTCCGCGCTGCCGCGACGTTTGGTTTACGACTCTTTGGTGCAAGAAGTTTTGCTCTATGCTAGCGAAACCTGGTCCCTGCATGCTGAGAATGTGCCGCGGCTCTGTGTTCGATTATCGTGGTTTTCATACGGCTGGTCGTATCCGGTGGCCATCCATCCAAATCAACATAGGACCAGGCATTACTCTGTAACGGTCCAATTTACCGCCACACCTCATATCACTACATCAAGTAGACAGGCAGTATAGTGGAAGACGAAGATAAGAGGATGCAGCCAAGAGACATATAAAGTATGAAAAGAGAGAAATGAAGAATGGGTAAGTGATGAGATTCTGTATAGCGTCGTTAAGATGAGGATAATGTATGTGTGTGTGTATGTGTGTGTACATCCCCGACACTGATATCGGTGCTCAGCCATGTGATCACCTAGAGTCGGTCTCCAATCACTGTTAGTTTCTCTGGTCACGCAAACCCCAACCACCTAGTCTGCATTGCCCCACATGGTTCAAACCAACAGTCAGACACTTCATACATTCATCATCATTATCAACATAGGACCAGGCATTACTGCGTAACGGTCCTAGTTGCCACACCTCATATCAGCACATCAAGTAGAAAGGTAGTGAGGTGAAGGATGAAGATAAGTGAATGCAGTCAAAAGAAATATAAAGTACGAAAAGAAAAGAAAGAGGAGTGACAAAATAGTGAGATTCGGTATAGCGTTGTTAAGATGAGGATAATGTATGTATACATCTGCGCCACTGACTTCGGTTCTCAGCCATATCACCTAGAGTCTCCAACCACTGGTTCTTCTTGTCCCGCACACCCCAACCACCTAGTCTGCATCCTCCTACATGGCTTAAACCAACAGTCACAGACTTCATACATTGGTGCCATGTTTTAGTCTGGCCACCTCCTGCCTTTTTCCAGCCTGGACCAACCTCAGCCAACATTGTGTGATGAGGCAATCGGTGACTAGGCATACGTAGTACGTGTCCCAACCATCTCAGTCGATGAAGGTTCACAACCTCGCCAACTGACTTACCTCTTCTCCCCAAAACTCTACACCTGACTTCTGCATTACTCATGTGGTGACACCATGGAATACGTCCTATATTACGAAGGCAACGGTGATCAAACACCTGAAGCCTTTTTGTATCCTCCACTTTCAGTGGCCATGTTTCACAGCCATACAGTAGAACAGACCGGACTGCTGTGCAGTACACACAACCCTTAATAGACAAACGAATATCACGGCGGCGCCATAGGTGGCGCAAATTGGCAAAAGCCAATCGAGCCTTTTGTATCCATGCAGAAATCTCATCGGCAACTAACCCACCAGGGTTGATCCTACTTCCCAGGTAAGTGAAGTGGTCAACACACTCAACCACTTCACTCTCTATTGTATCCACGGTGGCACCGCTGAAGACCAGTCCTGGAGCAAAAATTTGCATTTGGGTGGTGAAAATCGCATCCCAAACATTTTCAAATTGCCACTCAATATGTCCAGAAGACTCTGCATCTTGTCAGCGTCTTCACCTAACAGGACTATCTCATCTGCGTATACCAGGCCTACCAAAAATCCTCTTGTGATTAGGTCAATTCCGGTGTAGTCAGATGACGAGAAGAAGACCTCCATCCGAAAGTCTATGATAAAAGTGAATAAGAATGGAGAGAGTACATATCCTTGACGGACACCACTCGACCTACACAACTCACCAGACATCTCAGCATAGGCCCTAACACGCCCACAGGTGTTCGAGTAAATAGCCATCAATAGGGTGATGTACTTACTCGGTACCTCGTTCAGTGAGAGACATTGCTATAAGACTTCTCGATCAACGGAGTCGAATGCCGCCTTCACGTCGAGAAATACAGTCATTGTCTGGCGTCGGTAATAGCGCCTGTGTTTCAGAACCTGGTGGAGTGTGAATATTCGGTCGATACATCCACAGCCCAGTCTAAAGTCTGCCTGGTTTTCTCGGGCTTGCTGTTCCTGAGCTCCAATCAGGCGTCGAAGAAGAAGACATTTGTGATCAAAACCCTGTAATCTCTTCATATCGTCTACTTTTAACGGACATATCTTACAGCTGTACAACAGGATAGTACGAACTAAAGCGTAATATCCTCTTCTTTTGATAGATAGTTAGATATCTTGCCAGTCGGCGACACAAAGGACGCAAGTCGATGCTGACAATACAGTTCAGTTTAGATGACTGAAAAGACCCAGGCAACTGAGACTGATATAAAGATATTCAATATGCTATGTAATATCAATATGCATAAATCTAAAAATGCGGTGTAACCAAAGCATATCACCATCTCAAGTGTACACACCTTCTTACAAACTACCTGATTTATATTTCGGAATATTTCTTAGCTCTTACAGTTAGTTTGCTTTAATGAATAAACAAATACAACACCAGGAATGAGGTTGACATCAACTAGTACCTTTTTACCATGGAAAGTTTGCAGGCTCTAAACTAGTATTTAAACAAGGTGGAGAGAAATATACGCATATTATCAGTTTAACTATCTCAAATATGTGGTACAGTACACTTGTATCGATACTGGGTGATGATTGGTGATGAAATGAAAATCTGGATCGCTAGATGGATAAAAGTAACAGAAATGAAGTGATGAATACTGGATTCGAATCTCAGTGAGAACAATCTCACTCACTGGGATGCAGACATATCTAGCTGACTAGTGAGTTGCAAATGGTACAAAACACACCTAATGGATTTCACTGCTGGTCACCAAGATGAATACAAGTCGATGAAAAAACCTACTTGACTGACTAAAACTATTATGAAAGCAAACTTACAGATTCTTTAGGTTTCGGGGGGAGGTAAATAGTGCACTGATCATTAGGATCCAATGGCAAGTTTGCCGTTGTTGTTGTTGTTGTTGTTATAGGAGGTATTGTACAATTGGCTGATAATGCAGATGCATCACGTTTACAACCCGTGGCGACTGGACCAAGCGGCTCTGTGAAAACAGGCGGATCGATATCTTGATTTTCATTAGACCGCGAATGACGAGGCATGTTAACAGCTATCGGTGTGAAATTATTTGAAAGACAGTCTCCGGAGAAGCTAATTTGATGATGACTCTGTGTATCAACACTCTGACCAGGCGGAAATACTGAAAAATGAGATTGAGTTAATGATTGTTCAGGATTCAGTACTATTCTGATTGGCACAGGTAGTCCAAAAAACTGTGCTAAAGGCTGAGTATGAGTGGATCGAGTAGAGGAAGATGGGCAATAATCACCAGCAACTGCAAAACATGGCAAAGTAGGATTTTGAACCAGCTGGAAGAAAAATCAACAGTAGAATTGCAGAAATACTTAAGAGATAAGACATCAACGACAGATACATAGGTAATAAAATTGGTTTTAAAAAATCTGGGGATTAGGCAAAAAGACTATTCTTTCTTTTGGTGTTTGCATTTCTCAGGTATTTCACAGGTTCCAACACTGTCCCATCTACCGAAGTTCCGGGAAGTCAGGTAGCATCAATTACATTTACATAGCACGTGTGGCTCGTTGCCTACGGCATGTATGTGCACAAGGTTGCTGAATGCATGTTTGTGTTCGTATCTGGAGCTAAATACTAGGTAATAGAATACAATGAACAACTATGTACATTCACACAGAGCTGTATGCAAAGAATATAAATGACTAGAAATAAATCAGTGACCCACCTAAAAATGAATTAGTGGAAAAGGGAGCATTTCACACAGACGCTAGTATATGAGAATTATTTAGTTACCAAGCCCATTCCTCCAAAATCCAAATAAACTATCTGCAACCTACATGCATTTTTTAATCGCTAAATATGTTTGCCGGAAGACGACTGGAGAGAAGCGGAAGGAAAATGACCTATGGTGCTGACTAACAGCGAGTTTCAAAGTAAGTAAGCCTTAAATCTAGTTTGCACAAGAGTCTGGAAACTAGATGTAGTTTAATTACAACACGGCAAAACACCTGGAGTAAGAAATCAGTAGTTCAACTCTGTGATCTGAAAAATATGAGAGAAGAAGAAGGACATACGCAGGTGTTATCAGTTTATTGTTAACATTTTACAGATCTACAACAAGCCCTTTGTATTTTCGCCGAGATTATGTCATTCGTCACCTCTTTAGATGTGATTCCCCCCCCCTCAAAGAAGTAAAACAATCACCACATAGCTAATATAATCATTCTATTCAAGTTAGGTATTGATTCAGGTCAATAACACTGGAGTATTGTTTCACATTTTCAATCCAAACGTTTTTAAGTTCTCTCCTGATATATTCCAAAGACTGTGAATAAATTGTCAACTGCTGACGAAATACTTTATAGACACTAATACAAGAATGTTTCTTTGAGGTGAATGGGAATTTTTAATTTACAGTTAAAACTTGTTCACTGAGGTAGGATGTAATTAGATTTATTACAAAGTGGAATAGTACGGTTTACTGGATTATGTTTGGGATATAATTTATTGTCCATAGTCATATCATGACATGTTCATATGACTATGGACAATAATGTCCGAAACGTAATAAAGTAAACAATACTGTTCCACTGTGTGGTAAATGTAACAAATCAATTAAAATGGAATTACTTTACAGACAGACAAAACCAACGCAGAGGCCCAAACACAAGTTCATCGGTTCAAGTTGTCACACTTGACAGTAGCATATAAGGAACAGGTAGATAGCTGGTTGATAGCTAATACCTTGACGAGTTGGTCGGGCTTGTATATCGCAATGACCCAACGAACTACACTAGCTAGAAAGCTTCTTCCCTCAAGTCCCTACGATACCAAAAAGGTCTATTGGATAGTAAGCGATAAGGCGAAAGCAGTTATCATTGTAGTGTAAATTGCAACACTATAATAGGGGGTCCGAGGGTTAAGTTGTACTGTTGACAGCAGTGCCGAACTAATACTACCTTCCACGTCGTAAGGGTGCTAGAAAAGGTCGGCCCCGAAAAATAGCACACTTCTCCCTGCCCCACCGTCTTCCGCTTCCGGTGGCATGCATTTTTTCTATCTGCCGTTAAAACAACCATATATCAAAATAATCCACAAAAGGCTGTAACATAAGTCTCAAGCAAATGTTCCATGGGCTTTGCAGCTACACAAATTTTTTTTATTTACCTCAAGAAGAAGTAGGCTTCCACAGTGTGGGCACCCAGGAAGTGTCAACCGCCCACACGCTTTCAGTGGAATACTTCACAGAAGCATTTATCATGCGATACTTTGATGATGAAAAGACAGTTTACTCAACAAATAATATTCTTCCCAATAACTTCCACCTTATCAATTTCTATAAGTGTATATCCATATGATATAGACATAAGGATGGGATGTGTCAACAATGCGGATTGCACAACAACAGGGTGTTTCAATTGGTGGGAGAATTTCCTCCAGTTAAGACATAAGTGAACGACAATATTCAATTTCAAATGCTCACGGAATACGATTCAAAACAAATACGCCAATTTTCCTTTTTTATTTAGATTTAGAGATTTTTGTAATTGACTGGAATGAGAATGATTTACGCCTGATGTTTTAATCAATATATTTGATATCTAACATTTTACCTTCATCTCGGAAATATTTGGGATTGAATTCAATTGTCCTATATCGAAAAAAAAATTGGAGGATGGATGTAGATGACATACTTTACCATGAGTAACTTAATATATTAAAACAGACTAGCTGAACTGAAAAGCAAATCATTCTATTGAGTCAAGAATAAAAACTAAGGATGAGTCGAAATTGAAATGCACTGAGCAGCCTTGTGCACATCCCTACAGTAGACAATGAACCATACTTATTGTGTGACGGCTAATGATACTACTTGGTTTCCCCCAACACATCGGTAGGTGGAGTGAGGTTCAAACTTGTCACCTAATTGGTTGAAAGTTGACTACTTAAACCAATGAGCCACAGCTCCTAAATCAAGGACAGTAAAAAAAAATGGCTGACAGACTCTTTGATGTGACTAGTGAAATAGTAAATGTACGCATACGAGGCGTCACAAACAAATGGAAAGAAATACAATCCACAGAGTTTTATACACGTCAAGGATTATTTCAATGACATGGCTTACAACAAAAGGAAGTACTACAATGACATGCCAAAAGTAACAAAGAGAAAAAAGCAAAAACAAGTTAAGGTTATCGGACATACGGTTACATATAACAAGACAAGAATAGATGCATCTACTGCATTACACTGAGTTGCTAACCAGAAATTTCGGTTATCGCATAGACGCCAACCTGTTTAATATTTACATAAGTTAGTATGATTTCATAGTCTGACCATTCTGAGGCATTTGGTCTACTTTTCTTGCTGATAGTAAAACATGTTGGGGTGAATGCGAAATCACTTAATAACAACTGAAAAACAGATATACTATTAGATGCATGCTAGTTGATATCAACAGAAAATTAAGTGATACAAAAAACAATGTTACTCAGCGACCGCATGCAGGTTTGCACACTAGGTAATAATGAGCCAGAGCGATTTTGGGTGGTCTAGTGATACCACCTGGCTACCCAAACTTCGGCAGGTGGAGGAGGCTGTGATCTACTGACTAGAAGCCCAGTGCTTAGATCAAAAGGTTACAGCTCTACTCAGTAATGAAGGAATCAAAATAAAAGACAAGCAGTCATGGTCGAATAAGGCTTTTAGTACAGATAATCCAACTTGAAGACCATACAAGCAAGTGTCCGTTCGAGCTATGAGCACCGCATCGGTAGCTCGCAGGCCGCTGCTGGTTCGAATCCTCTTGCTACCAAGGTTTCTGTCCCATCTTTGATTACCACCCACCATCAATAACAGCGGTTTGCGAAATCCGGGTATTTCAGGTAGTTTCAAAAATGCCTTATAAATATCAGTAAACAGTATTTGAATTACTAGAAGTAAAAACGAAAATGAAAATGGATTATTAACTTTAGTGGAATTATATAACCCTGGTCTACCCACTTGTCAATAAATCATATTATCCTACAAGTAGCAGTGTTCATAACAGTTAGATATACACATTTACTTCAGCGAATTTGTCCACTAAACTGCCTAAAAGACAGTAAAGTAAGTATTTAGTCAATACATCAATAAATACCCATTTACGGTACTGAAAATTAGAGGGGTAGTCCTAGAACTGATGGAGAACAAAGGTAGTCCCGATAACAAATATTTAAAAAGCCAAGATCAGACGTGCGAAATGCATAAATGTACCAGTATTGAATACTACATATAGATCAAATGTTTACAGAAAAGCAGACCACCACGAGGAGTACAAATTATAAGCAACCTTAATACGTGTAAAATCTCCAATAAACTGATAAGACTATACCAACAACAAAAAGAAATGTTGAATAACCTTCAGCTGAGAAAAGAGGAATCTGAAGTCGAAAGTCAGCAAAATTTGAGAGTGAATTACAGTAAACCGGTTAGAAAAAACAGAACAAGCTATAATAAAACAATACGATAGTGTATTGGTTGATATCCAGCGGGGTCACGAGGAGGCTCACGATCGTAAGCAAATGGGCTCGGTCCATTTTCATCAGCCAACAACACAAACCCAGCACCACCTAACCGTACTATGCCGTGCCGAACTTCATGTCGACTCCCTGGCATGTCCTTATGGAGTGGGGTCTGTGCTATAGAGTCATAGTTACTCTCTCCAAATTAAGAATGGTTATTTGATGTAACACAGGGATACAGATTAGAATATACAGAAAACACCTAACATCATTGAAACTAAATTATTTATCCCATCAAACAGCCAGCCGATGTAATATTTGTGACATTTATGGAAGCAAGCACTTAGTGTAAAAAAAATGACTTTGAGTAGTAGAGATGGTCAGACATTGGGGCATCAATTTTTACCGGACAGTCATGTAAACTTCTCAGTGGGGTCCACGTGACGACCAAACTCAAGGGTTAGAGACTGTAAGCTATATGGCTCACAATTGATCTTAGTAGCAGAAGTGTATTCACAGCAACTTTATCGTCATTGTCTTACATCCGCGTTCCTTCACATTCTGACTTTTGACCGCTCTTGACTCGCTTACTTCTCTCTCTCTCTCTCTCCATATATATATATATATATATATATAGGCATAGCGGTGTAGCGGTTAAGATGGGGATAATGTGTGTATATATCTGCGCCATTGACATCGGTTTCGGGTCATACTATCCAGAGTCTCCAATTGCTGGTTTCTCTTGTCCCATGGACCTAAACCGGCTAGTCTGCATCGCCCTACATGGCTCAAACCAACAGTCAGAGACGTCATGCATTGATGCCATGGTT